TGTAATTATTATTATACTGCGTGCTTCTTAGTTATTCCATCTTTTGCTGTAACATGGATCTGTATGTAACTCTATATTTACTTGTTATCTACCACACTTCCTTCTACATCATACACCATCATTATACATGGTGTATATAGGATATATATATATTTGTATACATATCTGTAAATTGTATAATTTTATTTTTCGTATTTGGGATTTCTCTTTTGTCCACTCAAATACACTTGGCCCTTTCTCTTTTCCATGTGGAAAATAGCAGCTTCATATTCTGCTTTTCTCATCTGGCTCCCTGTCTGCTCATCTACAATGAGAAAATTATATAATTAATTACTAATAATCATTTAAACCTGTTATTACCAATATTTCACAAATTCTTCATGTAAACTTAAGAGCACAGCTGTATGTTGAGTGTCAGCTTTGCTTGGTTCATCTTACTGGGGGGCACCTAATGTCGGTGCAGTCCACAATAATTTTGCAGTTGAAGGCAGAATGAATTTATTATTGACTCAGAATGAAGCACAACTTCATGTCATACAATACATTGACTTTATTTGTAATTGTGTAAAAAAATATGAATATTGATTAGCAAGCAGGACCTGCAGGAACAGAGAATGGTGATGGATGGAGCTGGGAAGAGAGAAGAATAAAGAAAACAGATCAACTTTATTATCGGATATTAAAAATTCAATTTCAAAACAAGTTGCCGCTCCTACAGTTTTCTAGTATGTAAAGATGATTTCACATGACCAATGCAAAATATCACNCACTCAATACATGTGTGTCTCTGGGGGGTGCATTGTGCCTTTGATGTATATAAATAATATACCATAACCAAATACGATTACGTACAGTGGAAATCAGGTTGCCAGAGCAGGTCAGTCCAGTGTGCATGTTCCTCAGGGTCTCAGCAGTTACAGGTGAGGTAAAGAAAATAAAAGAGAAAAAGGTCAGTAACAACACTTTAAAGTAACAACACTGAATAATTAGCTATTTTAATAATTTTCTCTCAGGAATCACTCAACTACTGTCTTTCCAACAAACAGATTGACTCACTCTCACTATCATCACAATGAAACACGTCCAGAAGAATGTCATGCAAAGCTGCCTGCCTTCCTTCCTTCCTTCGACTCTCCCTGAACTGCCTGATCTTTTAATGTTCAATGTTAACCATTTGTGCAGATAGCATTAAGTAGAAAATATGCTAATGTGGCGTTAGCCTACCTCCCGCCCCCTTAGCACCTGGTGGAGGGGGCGATAGGCTACTCTTCAAATGTTTCACAAAATACTTACCATCATGACTACTCTTACTGTTTAACATTTTTGGTTTACTTCATGTTAAGGCTAATACAAATGACAAGGCTAAGTAATGTAATGCTAACTAACATGCTCGCTACTAGCTAGGTAGCTAACTTGACTATGTTCCATGCAAAACATGTATATTACCTGATATGTTTGGTCCAACGACTCCTGGTCTTTTCGTAAGACGGGAAGCGATAGAACGAGCAAGTGGTATGATCTCTTTTGTGATTACAACCTGGTACAAAGCACACAGGCATCTTGTAAAAGTGCATTTATTGGAGCAATCTCTTATATTTATTGGAGGGAATAAATCAGTCTTCTTCTTCCTCTTTGCTTTGCGAGTCGCAACCAGTCTTGGAGCATTATCGCCTATGACATCACTTACGCGACCCAGAATGCATTTGGGATTTGTAGTCTTTCTAGTTGCGTATTTTTCATAGTCTTATATTTCAACAGTTTTACGACAAAAATGTGACTTTTTTTTACATGGAAATGATTGTTTAAGATTGACAAACATCATATGTGTCATTCGTGGCACAATTCAAACGGGATCAAAAGATAACTTTTCTCTCTCCATTGACTTCAATGTATAATTTTCCGCTTCCGGGGTCCCATGGAGGCTCCCGGAAGGGGAGGGACTTCGCCTCTCTATGCTCCTAGCGTGTGAAAATGTTTGTGAAAAACAGGTTAAAAAAACATGAAAACGGAGCAATGGCTGTACGCCATTGGCTGTACGGCAACTCCAACGAGACCACATTTCATACACGGTCAAATTCCGCAACTTTTAAACATAGCCTACACTTCATTCTTTACTTTTGTCCGTTTAATTTATATGTTAGAAGATGAACTTACCTCTTCTGAAAGGGTCCCAATTGTGTTCATTTGATGGGGCTTGTCTTTCTGAGTGGTTAAACATCACTAAATGATTTCCTGACTTCTGGACTTGCTTTGGATAATAATTACACCACAATAAAAGGTTTTTACTATCACAGTTGCCACTGAGATTTGTGACAACAAAAAACTGTAAAGCACTTACGGCATCACTTACACTGTAAACCAAAGCGGTTTTGCCATTTCACTTACTGTACTGAGGCTCAGTCATGAGACATTTTTCATTTACAAAAGCCATGTGGATGAAGTACCATCTTATATTCTGCTCCTGATTCTCTGGAAATTGAAATAGCTATTGCCTGAAGATCTCAATGCTGTGGTTTTTTATTACAAATGTGCCAAAGTGCTAAGGGACTGGCTTAGGGAAGGAAACTTTTAGAATTGTGCAAGCTCCCACCCTACTTGGAAGGCGTTTTCGCTCGGCACAGTCTGTAAAAAGAATTGTAAAAATTACAAGCTGGTATCCACTACCCATGTTTTTAACAGACGGTTTGGATGCCTCCACAGTCAAGGATTCGTGTTTGTACCTGTACTATGTGGATAAGATATTTAAAAATTGTATCCCTGTAAATTTTTTGCTGTATGATTGTCCCTCCACTTTTGGTATCGTTACATCCTGTCCACACCACCCTTAGTTTATGATCACCTCTCTAACCCCACACAAGTCTCTCTTCCCATGTGGAACCTCCACCTACCACCCCACAACCTGCTGCCACCACCAAACACCACCCACACCACCCCACCCACCACCACACCGGACCACAGGCCCACCCCCCCCTCACCATGACCCAATTAAGCACTTCCAGATTCTCAATTCCGCGCGATTCCATTCAACCCATGAGAACACATAAAAATCTTAAAAAACACCAAACCACCAAACCTGGTTCCTTGAAATTGATCGTACCGACAGCCAATAAAAAACTCCACAAAAAAACAAAGTCAACTTCCACAATTGCACCACCATAAAAACTGCACCAGAACACAAAAAAGCAATAATTAATGTTACAAGATCGCTTACAGAACACACAAACAAATATCCAAGATGATAAAACAAACAACTCCCAACTAACCTCATAACACTTACCGTTTCATTTACATAACAATAGTAAACCCAACTACAATCATTTTTCTATGAAGTGCCTCATTTATTTCCCTCACCCAAAAAATCCACACTAGTCACACATATTAAAACAGTATAAAACTATTGCTAATTGAAAAAACATAATGCCACAAACTAAGAGCATTACACAGAAATATCCCAAACTCTTCCTAGGCACTGGTCATATAGGCAAATCTACATGATAAAAGCACACACAAAAAACCAGAGTCTCACCAGAATTCAATAAGGACACAATCCTACTAAGGTAAAAAAACTCCACACACCCCAATAAAAACAGTATGACAGAACACAACCCAACCCAGAAAACGCTTGCCGGAGGATCAAAATGTTCCTTTTTCCTGAAAGCGGAGCAACAATGACCTAATTTAATAAAAACAACCATTTTCAGCTGACCACTCAACATACAAGAAAAAACATCGGTGATCCATCTCTCATTTATCACTCCCACAATCCTCGCGTATATCCTGTTCATGAATATGCCACAAACAAAATAAAAACCCAGAACATCCAGAAACCGCAGAGACCACAGAACACCAAACAACACACAAAACCCCACAACCCAACAGAAACACAACCACACCAGATCCAAACACACTGAAAAATAGATTAGTTATTCAAATTAGCGTTTCTCACTTATCGCAAGGACATTGAACTCTGCCAAACGATATTCTCTACCGGCGTAAGCACAAACTATTGGCATTCCTGAGAGGTGGATCTGCCTTTACCATGGAATGCCCTCTGACCAGTGCCTAAAGAGTTTGCCGACTCACTGCATACCATTGTGCATTACCATGTTATCTATAAATATACAAACAATATATATATACTATTGTGAGGTTATGGAACTAAAATATGCCCTTCATGAAAATGATTAGATTGGTTCCTGTCTAGCTTAAAAACAACAGTAAGGTTACATATGGATGTCTTGTTGACACTTGGATATGTTTCTCTTTCACGAACACTGGTAAAATTGAATTATTCTCCAGTTTATTTCAATTCCTGGAGGTGACTTGCATAATGCTCGACATTCAATTCAAAACCGTTTATTTATCCAGGGTAAAATTCCCATTGGGAGATCAATGATCTATATATTTTCCAAGGGAGACCTGCAGGCAGTAGGTTCCACATGAACGACATAAAAAACATAAACAAACAGAACAACCAAAAGGACCATCCATACAGCAAAAATTACAGGGATTACCAATTACATTATCTACACACTGTACAAGGTACCAAACAGCCATGACTGCGTCGGAGGCATCCAACGAGCATGTAAAAAACATGTCTCATGCTTACCAGCTTGGTAACTCTATACATTCTTCAATTTCACAGAACTGTTCCAAGCTACGTGGAAGCAACATGACATCTAAAAGATTTCTTCCCTAAGACAGTGCCTTAGCACTCCTGGGACATTTAATAAAACCACAGCCCACTCGATGAATCTCAGCAATAAAGTAACTTTCACATTTGCCGAGAAATCAAGGGACACGACAACTATAAGAATGGTAACTTTATCACCAAACATGGCTTTGTACCAAACTCTGCAAACCAAACCCAAACCAAAATTACAAAAT